AGGCTGTATTCCCATTCCCCGCGATTAATCTCAGCAAAATTGAACAAGAAAAAATGTATGCTAAAGATTTCGAGGATCGTTTAGTGGATGGAAATATTCAAATCATGCTGATAAGTACCTCTAGAACTATAGAGGCAAAATACATTGATCATTGCACTGAATTGATCAATTGGAAGGTTGTTCCTGTTGGTCCACCAGTTCAAGATCCAATCACTAACGACGTGGACAACAAGGAGCTCATGGATTGGCTAGAAACAAAAGATGTGAATTCAACTGTTTTCGTCTCCTTTGGGAGTGAGTATTTCTTGTCAAAAGAAGATATGGAAGAAGTAGCTTTCGGGTTGGAGTTAAGTAATGTTAATTTCATATGGGTTGCAAGATTTCCAAAAGGGGAAGACCAAAATCTTGAAGATGCATTGCCAAAGGGTTTTCTTGAAAGAATTGGAGAAAGGGGAAGAGTTTTGGACAAATTTGCACCACAGCCAAGAATTCTAAATCATCCGAGTACGGGAGGATTTATAAGTCATTGTGGTTGGAATTCAGTAATGGAAAGTGTAGATTTTGGGGTTCCTATAATAGCTATGCCTATACAGTATGATCAACCATCAAATGCTAGGTTGATAGTAGAATTGGGAGTCGCCGTAGAGATTGTTAGAGATGATGATGGGAAAATTCACAGAGGAGAAATCGCGGAAACTCTTAAAGATGTCATAACAGGGAAAACAGGGGAAAATTTGAGGGGCAAAGTTAGAGATATCAGCAAGAATTTGAAATCTATAAGAGGTGAAGAGATGGATACTGCTGCTGAAGTGTTGATTCAACTTTGTAAGAATAGTAATGAGTGCAAATAGTGTGCTCATTTGGGGACTTCATGGATTAGTTGTTTGTCAGACTTTAGTTAGTTTCTTTGTGTATTTGGTTTGAGGTGGATGGGGGTCATGTCCCGGTAAACTTATTTCCTTAAGTTTAGACACTAAAGGCTTGCTCAAATATTAGTTGTTCGGTCATCATGAATTTATTGATTTCCTTATTAAGACTTAATAAGCATATGTTTCAGCTTTCGCATTAGTTCCATATGATATGTTTTGATATGTTAAGCCAAGGTTTAGCCTCGAATCACTTGTACCGTGTCTCGATTGGGGTGTAGACTCGGTCGTGAACAATTACCAAAGTTATTGAATACACTAACTTGCTTTTAGAGTATTCATTTTGGTACTTATATGATATATTTATTTATTTATGACAATTTTGTACACTATTAAAATTTTGTTGACTGAATTTGATAAGCGGAATTTTCACATATACACGCTCAAAAAAAACTTAATTATGCTCCATAGTTGTAGTTTTCTAATTACGATTCGCAGCTACATGTAAGAGGGAGGAGAGAGGCGAGCGAGGGCACAGAGTGAAGAGAGGCAAATTGTATATGTATGTATATTTGTCAAATAATAATATATATGTAATTGGTATACATATGTATTTGTATATCTGGCCAGCGAGATTGGGAGAGGGAGGAGAGAGGGCAAAGAGTGGAGAGAGGCGAATTCTATATGTATATCTGTCAGATAATTGTATATATGTAACTGGTATACATATGTATTT